TTCAAAGTGTGATAACACTGGAAGGTGGCATGGATAGGAAGGGGGTAAAAGTGTCCGGACTGGAAGTGGTTACTGACAAAGGAAATCTACCTACAATTTTTTTTTTTTTACTCCTGGAAAATGGATGGTGGCTAAGGCTGGAATATGACGTTCTGCCAAAGCCAAAATCAGATTTATTTTTTTTAGGCAGCAAGACATTTGGTTTCCCCTTGGTGGCTTACTGTATGTAAGCTGCTGAAGAAATAACCACGTGGTTCTGATCTCCAGAGCAGGAGATGAGCCTTACAGGGTGGCATCTGCTATGACCTTCCAGTGAAGAGGCAGGAAGGATTTCCCTCCACTTCAGGGGTGGATTTGTGATCCAGCACACCACAGTCAGTCAAGTTTTGGCAAGCAGGTAAATGAGCTGGTCCAAAGACCCTCCTTGTTCCACAGAGCTAGAATGTAGAGAAGCGAAGAATAAGTGAAATGGGTGTATGCAATTGGCTTGAAGGAAGTAACCAATAAGCTCAACAATGTAGTCTTCCATCCCATTAGCACTCGTAAATAGGTGATGCAACAGTGAGAAATGAAGATGTATGGATCGGATACTGGGTGATCTAGAACTAGACAAGCTAAGTGACCAAAATACATGGATGTAGATGGATAGATCTGCAATGACACTACAAACTAGCAGCAACATGTAAGCCCATAATTACGAGGAACAAAGGCAAAGCATCTAACTATACTAATATCTACTTCAAACAACAAAAATATTTGCTAGTGTCCAATGCTTTTAAAAGTACACTACAACACCCTCCGGCACTGTGAGCATATTGTAAGCTGGTCAGGCCCTGCTACGCTTGTGATCCTCCATAACTATGTGATCAGTGAAAGTGTCCCCAATGGTACTCACAATACCTGCACAGTAGGTCTCTTTCCTGCTACTGTGACTAAGGCCTTGTTCACACCATGGTGCAGAGATGTCAGTTTTTCTGCACACGTTCTGCAAAGCACAACAAAATCAGGTGTTCTCTGTGCTCTGTTTATACCACAACACTAGTATCCTGCAGGTTTTTTCTGTGCAGGAATCTGCAATGTTTATAAAACTCATTGACGAGTGCATGAAAACTGATGTCTCTGCAAGTGAAATCTGCATGTCGGTTTCCATCAGGTTTTTCTGCACGTATGGTGTGAATGAGGCCTAAATCTTTAGATTTGGTACTTTCTCAGAATCACAACTCGGCAAGGCCCCAAATTGTTCCAAAACTCTTAACCAGCAGAAATAAAGACAAAAATATGAACTTACCTGCCTATACACAATGTTTTGCAGATTTCACATGGAGCTAAACAGGAGCAGCTCTGCTTACAAGCCTGGCACAATGCCAGTATGCTAGGATGAACGACTGCTGTGCATGCGTAGGAGTGATGTCATCCTGCCTTGGCCAATCAAGAAGGACAAAGACTGGTACCCAGAAGGCAGGAAGAAGATACCAGTGGGAGACCTTGCGGACATCAGACCTTAGCAGCATAGTTGTGTATTTGAGCCTTTCGTTGCACTTTAAGATGACATTAAACACCCAGGGTTTTTTTTAACAGAAAAAACATCCAGGGTTTTAAGCATTTTCAGTTAACCAGTTAAATTGATGTAATCAATTACTGAATAAGTAGATTCTTTATCTTTTAATCCCTACCTCTGTTCCTGTTGCCAAGCTGGTGCTGTGACAGCTGCCCCAGGCTTCCTGTTGCAGGGAGGCTCCTTTTTCTTGCTACGTTCTGCGGTGCCATCCTTGCATGCAGGGACTAGAGTTGTGTTTCCCTTTAAATATGTGCATTAAAGAAACACACAGCACCATAGCCTAAGATAGTAAGGCACTGCCCTGCCCTCCTCCCTCAAAGCTAACAGACTGACTTAAGCCTGTATTGTTCACTTTGTGTGGAAGTTCAGGGAAGCAGTACCAAGAACCAGCAACAATGTAAATTGTAAGCTGCTAGGGTAAGAATTTTAACAACTAGCTTACTGGGAAATATTTTTTTTGTGCTCAGTGTGTTAAAGTAAAATCACTGAGGGTTTAATACTAATTTATTGTGTGTAGAGGTGTTTTCTTGCACCTTTTATTCAAATTTTTGCTAAGTGCTCCAGTCATAGGAAATTAGTTGCTGCAAGATCTGTCCCCCTCCGTCTCTGCAGTGAGAACTGAGCAATCTCTCAGTTCTCTGCTCTAAGCAGAGTCGTCACTCGTTCTTTGGCTGTTTGCTCTGTCCCTCCAGTGCTAACTGGAGTACTGGGCTGTGGAGGGGTGGGAGGGGCTGGATAAGACTCTTGGTGGATCGCTGAGAGGCTGAGCCAGGTGTCCGTCCAGGCTTCTGGGTCCATAGGGTCAGGATCTTCAGAGCCTGGACTGGATGAGTGATGTCAGACAACAGCCTGTTGTCTGCTGAAAACGGGTCACAGGAGTGCAGAACGTACTGCACTCCTATGACCAACAGGACAAGTACAGCTATACTTGTCCTTTAAGTGAAAATGAGAGAGAGACTGAAAAAAACTAATCATACATGAGTTGCATCTACAAGCTGTTTTGTTATTGGGTTTAGATATGCTTCAGGCATCATTTAGAAAGGCAGCTAGGAGGGTTGGGGTGTAAAAATGCACGGTTGAGCCACATTTTTTATGATATGACCTAATATATACATATTATAAATAAATGTGAAAGTAATATATACAAAGTGATACAACGTGCAAAAGAACGTAAAAGTGACCTGATCCTCCTGGGATCTTCACATATCTAACTGTGACCTGATCCTCAATGGATCCAGAAGTGAACACAGTGGATACTAAACCACCAAAAGGATGGTAATAGCAGAGTTTTGTGAATCAATGCTAAAACGTATGGTATAAAGGTGAATGAATCCTGAATGGGATCCTAAGTGATGGTGAATATAAATAAAAATATAAGATATATAAACTTAATCCAAATGGGGAGTAATAAGTGATATGTCCAACAATTAGGACTCAAATTAAGAAAAAAATGCATAAACATGCAAGTACATATCAAAAGTGCATAAACCATGCATTAAAAAATAAATGAACCCCAAACACTACATAGTGTTTCCATACACAGATATATATATATATATATATATATATATATATATATATATATATATATGAAATAAACAAACAAAAAATTATACAATAGTGTAAATATCTGTGTGACTATATCATGCAAAAAAAACGCATGACCCAAAACAACAAATATATATGTGAAAAGTCCAAAATTGGTGTTGAAAACACCATGTAATCCAGAAAACAAGACAACACTCGTGCCCGTGGATGGTGAATGTGGGTAACCACAGAAGGGTATCCGTAAGTAGCCAAATTAGCCGCTCACCACCTTGCTTCGACCCGCAAGGGTCAAAACACTTTTGGGATCACAAAACCGGATCCTCCATGCATATGATTCCTCTAACTCTGGATATCTCTCCCTTCAACCATCTCCCTCTCAGGGATGTACGTATAAGTGACGATATCCTCTCCAGGTATATGGGTAGGGTGTAAGCCAGTATCAGTCTCCAATCCGCCCCCGGCATCTCCCCGGTGGAGGGGGCGGGGGGCAGCGGAGAACAATACTGGCTTACAACCCTACCCATATACCTTGAGAGGATATCGCCACTTATACGTACATCCCTGAGAGGGAGATGTGTATATATATATTTTTATTTATATTCACCATCACTTAGGGCTCATTCACACTTGGCTGTTTTGCCAACGCTTGCCAAACACCCCTATAGCATTTGGCAAGCGTTGGTCCAGCGTTTTCGGAGCGTTTTTTTAACGCTCCGCAAACGCCGCATGCGCGGTTTAGCGGTGGTTGCTAGGCGTTTGCCGAGCGTTAATAACGCCCCACAAACGCCTATAATGCAGTTTGAGTGGTGTTACCGCTCCGCAAACGCCCCGCAACCGCGTCGCAAACGCCGGCCGGGCGTTTGTGGAGCGGCACCATAGACGAGAATAGGAGGCTTCAACGCCTCCTGACTCGTCCGGAGGTGTCCGTTTTGCCGCGACGCAACGCAAACGCTCCCGTTAGAACAGCACCATGTGCTGTAATGTGCAGAATTGGCAGAGGCGTTTGGGAAGCGGTAAAAAACGCTTCCCAAACGCCTGTCTCTGCCGCCTGCACCAGCGCTAGTGTGAACGTAGCCTTAAGATCCCATTCAGGATTTATCCACCTTTATACCATACGTTTTAGTATTGGTTCACATAACTCTGCTATTACCATCCTTGTGGTGGTTTAGTATCCACTGTGTTCACTTCTGGATCCGTTGAGGATCAGGTCACAGATATCTGAAGATCCCAGGAGGATCAGGTCACTTTTACGTTCTTTTGCACGTTGTGTCACTTTGTATATATTACTTTCACATTTATTTATAATATCTATATATTAGGTCATATCCTATGATTTGTATCTTTGGAGTAGCGCTGCATCATTTCCTTTTTATCTTATTTTACCTTGACCATTTTGGTATATGATTGGATGTTAGCAGCTTCTCCCAATTTTTTGCATCTATCATAGGTAGAAGCACAGGAGGTTTACACCATTATGAGCCACATTTTTACCACTCTGTTTATTCTGCGTCCGTGGAATAAACTACCCAACATGTAGCATTCGGCCAGTGGCAAGCCCAACATTCAAGTAAATGAGTTTGTGTTGGCAAAAAATTGGGATAAAAGAGGCAGATGCACATCAAAATCTACACTTAAGATTTACTAGTTCTTTTCTATAAGAAATAAATGTTTATCTATATGCTACAGGTGTATACCACAAGAGTGAATTTATTGTAGTTTTTCATATATATTTAAACATAACATCAGAGATCTTGATACAAAATAAATACTAAAAGGAAAAAGTCAGTAAAATGATTAGGCAGGTAGTACCATGAATTTCTCAAAATTATTGTAGATTTTTCTACCCATAATCCAAATCAATCTTCCAGATGCCTGAAGTCCAGTTTTTTATGACTCAGGCAGCCAGTTTTTGTAGAAGTTCTGTGAAGCTGTGAGCACAGGTGCAGAGTACAGATACACTGGCTGCCATGGCTTTGAGTGCAACAGGAGATGGGTACAGTGCAGCAGCCTCCTTTGTGGCTAGCACAACTTCTTTAAGGGCTTGGCATAGGGCTCCTCCTTCCCCTGCTAATTTAGCTTGCAGTTGAGTACAGCTGAGCAACCGCCCAAGTGTGTCCCCAATGAACACCAGCTTGTGTGCCGCAATCACCAGCTGTTTTCCATGTCCTACAAAAACACGTGGTGGTTGTGAGCTTGCACTTCCCAGAAATGTACCCACGCAGGTCTGAAGTGTCTGGAGGTGTCCGTGACTTTGAGATGCATAAAAGCGCAGCAAATGATGGTCTTCTTGACTGATGGCTCTGGACAAGGGTCAGTCTGGAATGAAAGAGTTCCCAGGTGAGTGTGCTGTGTATTTTTGTGATTCCTAGATTGTAGTTATACATTTCAACAGATTCTAACAAAGCAGCAGAAAACAAATAGGGCAAAGTAAAGCCAAAGTGCCGTATAAATTACATAAAAGCCAGGAAAAGTGTATGCTTGCAATCAAAGGCAATCAGCTGATTAATGTTTTTTTTTTTTTTTTTTTTTTCTTTTTCACATGGCCATTCTGTATGTCCGGTATTTATCTGTCTGTGTTATGGATGAAAAACAGACACCCACTTATTTCTATGGTCTAGCGGATGTAAACAGATGATCATCTGTTTACATCTGTTTTTTTTGAACAGAAGAAACCCTATTTATCTTCTGTTTAAAAAAAAAAAAAAGCAACGGATGAAAATGGATGTAAACAGACATACGGTCCGTTTTTGCATTGGTAAAGGATGTTAAAAAAAATGGATGAAAAACAGATGTGAACTGAAAAAAAAACTGATGTGAACTAATCCTACCACCAAGGTTGGTGGGTATTGTGTGACAGTATAATTATTATTATTATTATACAGGATTTATATAGCACCAACAGTTTGCTCATCGTTTTTACAATATAATGGGAGACAATACAGCAACAATACAGTTCAATACAAGAGGGTTAGAAGGGCCTGATCCTTGGAGCTTACAATCTAAGAGTCTGTGTAACAATGCGTTTTCTACCACTGTCATTCCCCTGCCACTCTGCAATGAGCTGGCATGAGGTTTTAGGGGCACAACTTTTTTTTTTAAAGAGGAGCTATACTCCCCTTTGGGCGGCCAGCTTCTGCATATAAATCACCAGCTGCTTCCATTAGTCGGGCAGACATGTCCTTCCCGCACTTATCTCTATATTCCTGAACTTGTACATTGAGCTACGCGTACACAGAGCACTGTACAGGTAGGTTCATAGCTTTAATGCACAAATTACATACAGTAGCATGTCTCCTCTGTTTCCTGCCTGTGCCCATTTTTTTTTTCATAAAACTCCACTTTAACACATGTACACTGTTATGGCTGCAGATTTTTTCAAATAAAAAACCGTAGATTAAAATGATTTAACTACACAGATACAATGGAAATATGCTTCATATCTGAATTTAGATTCCTCTTCTTCGCGAGAAACATTCTTTCCAACCAGTTCAGGGTATGGAGGAGATTCATGTACCCATCCAATAATTCCTCAAGTGCAGGTTATTTATAAAGGAATTTGAAGAATATTTCTCTAATTTGGCATCTTCTGCACCTTTTATGCCTGGAAATCTACGTGTATTATTGTACAACTATTTAGCACTGCATTTGCAGCAATTTTTTTTTATTGGCCTCATTACAGGCTGCATCACTTCTTGTGACCAGCAGAGGGGGGTTTACAAAAGAAACTACACACTACAATATCGTAATAATTCCATCTGAATTTACACAGTGTTTTCTCTAGTCTCACTAATATATTAGAGACATGGTTAGCTCCCTAGTCCTAAAACATCCCCTGAAAATATAAAACTATTAACAGAGACATGTGTTACCTTTTACACCGACAGTTGAGGATTTTAAAGAGTTTTGCTAGTTTTCCTCTAAAATCTTCAAAATAGAGCGTAAGATAAAGATGCTGTGATGTAAATATGAGGGTTTCTATTGCTGACTTCCTTCTGTCATTGACCTGAAACAAGTCTGCAGATCAGTGAATTCATATGTGCTTATCGACATACTGATGCAAAAAGAGTATACTATATTTTTGTATCTTCTGATATGACCAGTGTACTAGGTAAGCCATCATCATTTTTTTTTTTTTTTTTTTTTCCCTGCTTTTACTGACAGAGTTCCTAGTGAATTGTGGTGAGTTCCATATCCAAGTATCCAAGAATTTGTAATAGGAGAAACTGCTACAGGTATAAAATGCAGATATATTTCCTGTCTTGGGGAATGCTGGGTCATTCTGACAGCCATAAAATGAAACGAGAAAAAATATGATAGATTATTTGTATCCTCTATCATCATTTTAAAAAAAATAATATTTTCCTGTTTTACTGATATGATTGTGGAGTGCCCACCAAGTCCTCCTTCAAGGAATATGTATAAAAGACCAGCGCTTGTTTTCTTCTATTATAGAAACTGTCAGTGACACAAAAAAAAGACCAATAGGGCAGCTTGTAATGAGGAAGACTCCAGCCAGCTTCTACAGGAAAATCTATAGTTGCATAATTTACAGCTGCTTGTATCTTGGGATCTGTTTATTGTGTGATGATTACTTTTAACTGACAGTAACCTTTGTATTTTGCATTTTTTCATCATTTGGTCAGTTTAACCTGCTCAGGTATGTGACCGGTTTTACTTTAAACAATACTTGTGTTTTGTCAGATTTATTACAACTATTTAAAGAATTCTGGTAGAAACCAAAACTTTTCTACACCTTTTAACTCTTTCACTGCCAGAGCAGTTCTTGCATTCTAAAAGCATGAGCTTGGGGAAAAAAAATGGTGGTAGTTGCCATTGTTTTAAGTCACACAATGCAACATTTTTATCAAACACATTTTTCGGTAAAAAAAATACTCTAACACTACAGTGAATGTAAAGGATCATATGTTTGTTATTTAAAAGAAAATTGTTATACTTACTTGCTTCATGCAATGGTTTTGTGCAGAGCAGCCCTGAACCTCCTCTTCTCTGGTCCCTTGCAGGCAATTCTGGCTCCCCCCCCCCCCCCCTCAGGCTGTGTGTGTCCACACAAATATGACAAAGAAGAATAAAAATGATACCAAGGCCGCACATCGTTCCTCTAAAGATGGCGCCAGCGCTCAGCTTCAGCGTTTAGTGAAGGAAAAGCACTGGGATACCGCTGCCCACCTAGAACGCTTTTTCTTGTACTCCAGTTAAGAAATCCAAGAGGCCCAGTAATGTGTTGGATCTAGCAAACTCTGCTACAGTGCCCCCCCCCCCCCCAACTGCAGGTTCTCTGGCATGGGAGGAAGATTTTAACGCCTGGATCCTACCTGATGGCGGTCGTGATACCCTCCACAGATTCTGAACCTACCCTAGTTGATATAATGAAGGCGATCACAACCTGCAATAGTTCATTGACCACTCTCACGCAGGATGTGGATGGTATGGCTGGATATGCGGAATTTTAAGGAGAGGATCTCTGCGGTGGAGGGATGAATTAGCACTGTAGAGGGTTCAGTTAAACCTATTATATCCGCATTCCCCTCAATTTAATCTCAATCGACATGCTCTTAAAGATCACCCTCCCTTTTTCATGTGCACTCTGGAATGCCCCCTCTGTCTGTAATAAACTCACCTCTGTCTATGACCTTTTTGTCTCCCACTACCTTTAACCTATTAGTAATTACAGAAAAATGGCTTCAAGCATTAGATTCTGCTTCTCCCGCAGCACTTTTCAATGGAGGCTGCTCAGGACCCACTTACCTAGACCCAGTGGTAGGAAAGGAGGTGGAGCTGGTTTGCTTCTATCCACACTGAGCACCTTTAAGTCCTCCCTAACCCTCCCTCTCTATCCTTCTCTTCTTTCGAGACTCCCTGCATTTGGCTGTTTTCTCCCAATTCTCTGAGGATTGCAGTGATCTACCGGCCTCCTGGACCGGTGTCTGGCTTGCTTGATGACTTCTCTGCTTGGCTAACCTACGTTCTCTCCTCTGAAATACCCACTATCATTCTTAGAGATTAACATCCCCATTAACCACATGCCGCCCAGCCACTATAGAAATACGGCGGCACGGCTGGGCAAAACCACGTTTAAAACGTGTGTTTTCAAAACAGGTAGGGGGCGCGCCGCCGCCCTACCTGTCCCGCCGATCACGGCCGCGGATGTCAGTCGCCGGGTCACAGCCAGTCATTACCGGCTATGTCCCAGCGATTAGCGGCAATCACTGACAGAGAGCACAGCTGCAGTAGCTGTGCTTTCTGTCAGTTCCCTGACAGCTCCTGACACGCTGATCGGGACCGAAGAGTTTATCTGTCCGGATCAGTGTGTCTCCGTGCAGTACACACCCCCGCCCCCTAGTAAAACACTCCCCTCACACAGTTAATCCTTTCACTGAGTAATAAAGTTAACCCCTTCCTCCCCAGTGCCATTAGTACAGTGTCAGTGTTTTTTTTTTTTTTTGCACTGATCACTGTATTGGTGTCACTGGGGATGTCAATGACCCCAAGTCAGTTCCCCCCCAGTGTCAGAATGTCCGCCGCAGTCCCGCCATAAGTCGCTGATCGCTGCCATAAGTCGCTGATCGCTGCCATTATTAGTATAAAAAAAATGTAAAATTCCAGTATCTTTCCCGCCATTTTTAAACGCTATAACTTTCACGTAAATCAATTCATTTACACGTATTGGGTTTTTTTTTTTAGCAAAGACATGTCGCAGAATACATTTTGGCAGAAATTTATGACTAAATTTGATTTTTAAATTTTTTTTTTTTTTACTGGACATGTTTTATAGCAAAAAGTCCAAAATATTGTTTTTTTTCCTCAAAATTTTCCGGGCTTTTTTTTTTTTTTTCATAGTGCAAAAAATAAAAAACACACAGGCGATCAAATACCACCAAAAGAAAGCTCAATTTGTGGGGAAAAAAAGGAGGTAAATTTAATTTATGTACCGTATTGCATGAACGCACAATTGTCCGTTAAACTAGCGCAGCGCTGTATAGCAAAAAAAATGGCGTAAATTGCAGTATGTATACCATAGTTTGCAGATGCTATAACTTTCACAGAAAGCAATCAATATACACTTATTGGGATTTTTTTACCAAAAGCTTAGCAGAATACATTTTGGCCTAAATTTATAACTAACTTTGAGTTTACTATATATATTTTTTATAGCTGAAAGTAAAAAATATCGTTTTTCTTCAAAATTTTTGGTCTTTTTTTGTTTATAGCGTGAAAAATAAAAAGCGCACAGGTGATAAAATACCACCGAAAGAAAGCTCGATTTGTGTGAAAATAAGGATGTAAATTTCGTTTGG